TAAGATTTTTACATTACAAAATAGAAAAAGAAAAAAGAAAAAATACAAAATAAAAATAGTTTAAAACAATCAATCTATACATCACATTATTTTTCATTTACTTGTTTCTCGGACCTCCTCATACCTCCCTTTTTTGTATTCCAGTTCAATTTATTAGCTCAGCAGTTTCTTTCCCTCTTTATTCTACCCAGATCTTTAATCTTAAATTATTATAACCTTGAATTTGTACTTATAAAAAACCATTTTTTCATATTCTTTTATACCATTTCAGCTAGAAACCACTTAATTTCAATCCAACATCATTCTAACATTTTAAGTTCTTTTTCCCCTCCTTTTTGGGGTGGGGGTGGGTAGGTGGGTGGTATGGATGGATATCTGTTTGGGGTTTAATTTTACTATAACTGTTCTGTTTTTGTTTTTTGCTGTTTTATTGGTTGTTGTATAGTTTGCATTTTGTTTTTAAGGGGCAGGATCAGGGCTGCCTGGGAGTGGCTGGGGCAAGTTCCGGGGTGGGGTGGGGGAGCACTGGGACATCCGATCTCGGTGATCATGGGCAGGAGGTGGAGTTACGCTAAGACCAGACCATGTAATTACCGAGGAGGCAGGCTTAGTTGTTGTTTGAAGACTATCCCTGCCTATGGGTCTGGCCTTGACCTAGTTGGGTTGATCACCTAGTTTGGTTGTCCTAGGGGATTTTAACATCCATGCCGACACGACCTTACAAGGGGCTGCTCAGGACTTCGTGGAAAGCATGGCCTCCATGGGGTTTGGCCGAACTCATAGTCACAGACATGCCTTAGACCTGGTGTTTACCTCTAGTAACATGGGTGATGTAACACTAAGTAAAAGTGAAACAAAAGAAGTGCCATGGGCAGATCACTTCCTGGTGCAACTGGACTTCTCCGCAACCCTTCCCCTCTGCAGGGAGGTGGAAACAATTCGGACGGTCCGCCCCCGCCACTTAATGGATCCAAATGGTTTCCAGAGATTGGTAGGGGATGCTTTATCCCATGTTGATGGCCTTTCAGCTGATTCTCAGGTGGCCCACTGGTATGCTGAGTTAACCAGGGCTATCGACTGTCTGGCTCCGAAGCGCCCTCTCCGATTGCATGGAGCCCAGACAGCCCCGTGGTTTTCTTTGGAGCTGAGGGCGAGGAAACAATCGTTGAGACGGCTAGAGCTTCGGTGGCAGAAAACATTCTGAATCGGACTGGACATGGGTTAGAGCTCAACATCGAGCCTACCAAGTGGCGATAGCGACGGCGAAGAAGACCAGGTGCGCAGCCTGGGAGTCTTTTTGGAGTCACAGCTGTCCGTGGATGTGCAGGTAAGTTCTGTGTCCAGGGCAGCAGTTTACCAGCTCCATCTGGTACGCAGGCTGAGACACTATCTGCCTGTGGACTGTCTCACCAGAGTGGTGCATGCTCTAGTTATCTGTCGCTTGGATTACTGCATTGAGCTCTATGTGGGGCTACCTTTGAAGGTGACCCAGAAACTACAACTAATCCAGAATGTGGCATCTAGACTGGTGACTGGGAGCGGCGACAGAGACCACATAACTTCGGTCTTGAAAGACCTACATTGGCTCCCAGTACGTTTCCGGGCACAATTCAAAGTGTTGGTGTTGACCTTTAAAGCCCTAAACGGCCTTGGTCCAGTATACCTGAAGGAGCGTCTCCACCCCCATTGTTCTGCCCGGACGCTGAGGTCCAGCGCCAAGGGCCTTCTGGCAGTTCCCTCATTGCGAGAAGCAAAGCTACAGGAAACCAGGCAGATGGCCTTCTCGGTAGTGGCGCCTGCCCTGTGGAACACCCTCTCATCAGATGTCAAAGAGATAAATAACTACCTGACATTCAGGTAGTTCAGGGAAGTTTTTAATGTGTGACATTTTGTGTATTTTTTGTCTTGTTGGAAGCTGCCCAGAGTGGCTGGGGAAACCCAGCCAGATGGGTCGGGTGCAAATAATAATTATTACTACTATTATTAACATTTATGAGATGAGTCTTTCAAGTTCATGAGGGGAAAAAGAAAACAAATAAATAAATTAATTAAATATTGTATATTTTTTTATGGGGAGGAATGGAGACTTTCTCCCAGCTGACTTTTCTTTCCTCCTGATGGATAGGTGGTGCCTATTTCTGTGTGTAATGACTGCTGCTCCCCTGGTCATCAGAAGAAAAGGAAGGAAGGGGAGAAATTTTGCTGCTATGATTGTGCTCCATGTCCAGAAGGGAAGATTTCAGACCAGAATGGTTTGTGACTTAGAATTCACGTGTTATTTTCATTGGATAGGATTGGGATAGTTTGCTACTTTAGATCTAAGTGCTATGTTTAACTACCATGCTGCCTGGAATGTTTCTCTGTTGACTTCGAATATCTTCCCAGGGACATTTTGAAAAATGAGGAAGCCTCATGCAATACAGTGGCGTAGTGTGGGTTGTCAGCACCCGGGGCAAGGCAAGTAATTTGCGCCCCCTAACCCGTGGATTTGCGCCCCCTAACCTGTGGATTTGCCCTAACCCCAGATGTTGCGCCTGGTGCGGCCGGCCCCCCCTGCACCCCCCACGCTACGCCACTGATGCAATACATTTTATGTGGATTTGAGTGTGAGCGCTAAAATAGACAAAATGATCTATGGTAGTTGCACACCTACTTTATAATATCCCAGTGGCACCGGGCGCAACATCTGGGGGTTAGGGTTAGGGGGCGCAAATCCACGGGTTAGGGGGCGCAAATTACTTGCCTTGCTCCGGGTGCTGACAACCCACGCTACGCCACTGTAATATCCTAAAGAGAAAAAAATATAAAAATGGCCAAAACAAATGGTCAAAAAGTCCGTAGAGAAATGTTAACACTCCTGATGATGGTGATGGAGAGTTTGACAAATTTCTACTTTGAAGAGGTAAAATCAAACTGTGATTATTATTAGTAGATGCTGGATCAGACATTAAAGTTTCTCCTTAGTGGCCTCTGCAACACATGTCAGGTGCAAAAATCCATGGGGCACCCCTCAAATAGACAACCAGATACACAGTTCTAGATAGGAAACAGTGAAGTGATGATGTACGAGGAATACCTATCTGGCCAATCTGCACAGGACATCACAAATTCAAAATTATACCTTTTTGTGTTGTGTATAGTCAAAGACACTGGATTCAATGGCAGGTGGCATAGGCGAAGTGGTTTTACCCAGGCACAAGCTCCCTTTCCTCTCTTTATTTTTCATTTGCTTGCCAATAGTGTAAAGTGCACAAAGGTCAAATGTGTGTAAGTTGAGGGCTAATTAAAGTGCACTTTCATTTTACAACAGTGCATTAAGAATGTCCAGGTTGAAATCCCAAAACGGTCATATGGAGGCAAATGAAGCAAATAAATTTTGTTTAGAATTTGACCTGTTTCTGTTTTTCAGATATGGATGACTGTTTCAGATGCCCAGAAGACCAATATGCAAACAGGAACAAAGATGGATGCATCTCCAAATCAATGAGCTTTCTTTCTTATGAAGAACCCTTAGGGATCAGCTTGGCCTCAATTGCTATTTGTTTCTCCATTGTCACAACTTTAGTGTTTTTAGCTTTTGTGAAGCACAGAGATACACCCATTGTCAAAGCCAACAACCGAGATCTCACCTACACTCTCCTAATCTCTCTACTGCTCTGCTTTCTATCTTCTTTGCTATTCCTTGGCAAACCAGGGAAATGGCCTGCTTCCTCAGACAACCTACTTTTGGCATCATCTTCTCAATGGCTGTTTCTTGTGTGCTGGCCAAAACCATTACCGTAGTTGTAGCTTTCATGGCCACCAAGCCAGGGTCCAGCCTGAGGAAGTGGGTGGGGAAAAGACTAGCCAATTCCATTGTCCTTTCCTGCTCTTTGATTCAAGCAAGTCTGTGTACTCTCTGGTTGGCAACTTCTCCCCCATTCCCAGATTTAGACATGCACTCACTAATGGAAGAAATCACTGTGCAATGTAATGAAGGGTCGGTGACCTTGTTTTCCTGTGTCCTGGGCTACATGGGCCTCCTGGCTTTCTTCAGCTTCATTGTGGCATTTGCAGCTCGCAAATTGCCAGACAGTTTTAATGAAGCCAAGTTCATTACCTTCAGCATGTTGCTCTTTTGCAGTGTTTGGTTGTGCTTTGTCCCAACCTACCTGAGCACCAAAGGGAAGTACATGGTGATGGTGGAGATCTTTTCCATCTTGGCCTCCAGTGCTGGCTTACTGGGCTGCATATTTGCCCCTAAATGCTATATTATTATGCTGAGGCCAGAGCTGAACAACAGAGAGCAACTAATAAGAATAAAGAATTAAGGCAGCTCTTTGATTTGCCATCATTTTATTGTTAAAAAGGAAGGGGTAAGGTTTATGCATAATTCATTTATACTATTTACAAAAGTTCATTTAAAATTATTAACGTGTTGACTTCTTGGGGGAAAATTTTGCTGGTTAACACTCCCATCGCCAGCTAAGACTTAAATCTTTGTTAGTACACTCTCCCTTGTGTGATAGGGAGATTAACCTCACATGCTCTGAAGAAAGCCGTTCTTCAAACTGAGTATGAGAACTTTCTGGAGGCAGATAAAATTTTGGAGAGAATCTGACATTGTGCCCAGATACTGCACAATATCCTTGAAGGTTAGCTCTCAAATCAGCAAAACCTCTCTTCTTTTAACAATATTTGATATTGGGATATTTTGAGATTATAACATGGATGACCCTTTCTGCCAATTAATTTTCACCTGGAATGTGACTTAACTGCTGCCATAAAAAGAGACATTAGTTAGAATATCTAACAGACTGTAAACTAATACCAAAGGCATACCTATTTATTTCAGATTCAGAAAGAAGATAAATGGAAAAGGATGCTTTGGTGATTAAGAATAATAATTTTTTTTTACTTTTAACCCCCCTTCCTTTCTGTGAGTACTGGCTTCTTATTAAAGAGACAGACACAAGACTTCAAGGCAGACACTGTTAAGGTGGAGAGAAATATAACCCAATATGGCAAAGATATTGTTGAACGCCCCACTGATTGTTGTTATTGTGTGGCATTTATTGGGTGAGCAATTGAAAGAATTCATAGCTGAGAAGGAGAAAATGATGAACAAAAATGGATCAGAGAAAATTAAGACCAAAGAATACGCAGGACCTTTGGGGGGGTGTGTAACTGATCAAGGTCTGCCTGAACAGGAAAGGAGAATGGTTGCAGGTGATGGAATGGACAAGACCTTCACAAAGTTGCCTGGAGGTGTGAACCAGACAAGTGAAGGAGTTGTTATGCTGAAGGAGTGGAATTAATTCATTGACAGAGATAGCAAGAAACTTCATGAGATGCCAGAGATAGAGTTGAGAGAAAGGATCCTGTGTGCAAGTTGGAATGAATTTAGAGGGGAAAGTCACCAAGCCTCCGGCCTTTTGGAAACAGAGTGAAAGAAGAGGAATTTAAATTAGGACGTTGTCAGCGGCTGCCTCAGGTCCCAGCTCACAAAGGACCAACGCCAGTTGCTCTTTATAAACAAAAGTCTTTATTGTGGTTCATTGTTGGTTTGACATCCGTGGCGCGCAGCGCTACGTCTGAGTCCTTAGACCGGCGAAGTCCCGTCTGAATCCGCCCCTCCTTTACACCAGTTCAATACCCGAGCTTTGCTCCACCTCTTCCTTTCCTCCCTCTGCTCCTTTCGCCTCCGGGTCCTCCTGCCCTCTGGGGTCCCCACCCTCCTGGACTCTTCGGAGGTGGATTCTTCTGACTCCTCCCCCTGTCTCCGGCGGCTTTGGGACCTGGCTCCCAATCCGGATTTTCTGCTGTCCCTCGCGCCTCTACATTTGAACTTGGCGCGCGCGCCCAGCCGCCCACTTTCCTCCTAACGGCTACACTGCTCCCTTCACTGCTTTCTCCTTCAGGGAGGCTGGCCGGCCCTGCTCTCTCCTCCGCCCCTCCATTCTCTGACGGAGGCGTGGTCAGTCCTGCCTCACTCTCTCCTCCTGCAGGAGGAGGCTTTTGTTCTAATCTGTGGGATTCTCCCCCCCCGCTGCGCTCTGGTGGGGAAGCTAGCCCTGATTTCCAGCTGCCGCTTGGCGACTCCCCACTGGCCCCCCTTGCCCTGACCCTGGGGGCCTCCTTCTGGGAATCTTCTGATTCGCTGGAGAGACTCAGGGAATCTCTCTGGTCACTGTCACACCCTCCTGCGCTCCCCTCCGATTGTTCCCCTTCGCTCTCCACCTCCTCCTTCTCCTGTGGCTCAGCCCCTGAGCCCCTGACAGACGTGAAATCATGGCAAACTGGAAATGGGAATGGAAGATATGGAGCTGCATAGCACAGTGATTAGTAACCTACATAAAAGGGAAATTCTCTTTTATGTATTGTGGTTCTAAGCTGTATATGGCTTTGTATACCAATACCAGCACATTGACCTCATTTGCAGGCAGTTCAGTTCTTTCATCTGCAGTGGTATAACATGATGGTGAAATTTCGCTCCAGTGAGCACATTCCAGGCCAGCCTCAGGGGCAGTCTCACAAAAGGTGCATTGCATTCGTAATGCAATCTGGAGGTTACCCATGCAAGCAAAACACCATCAGGAAGTTTTAACAGTCTGAATAATCAATTGCTTAATTCTCCTCTTTTTGATGATGCATCTGGTGTGTGGGTGTGTTGTGCTTTGCGGGAGGAGGTTCCCCTAGACTATTAGTGTAAAAAATATGTTTCCCAAGCCTTCTATAAACCTAGGGTTGCATGTGTGGCCCTTAGTTCAGGATTTGCTGTTTTGCATCCACAAAGAAAAATGGCACCACTCTGACTTTCCTGGGTATGTTCATTTGCCACAGAAGATTTCAAGCCACTTGCCACTTTGTAGGCCACTCAGGGTCAGAGGTAACATGGAGTCACATTTTAGAAAACAAACCCAGCTGAACTTGTTGGTTACCAAAACTGCTACTCTGAGCTAATAATCTGAAAACAATATTATCTATTCATGCAATTAAACAAATCATTATATTTTTCTCAATTTGTCCAGGCTCAAGAGACTTTCCAGTAGTCACTTGGAAAAAATCAATAGGAAAACCTAGAAGTTGTTATAATAAATAATGTTGTATTCAGTAGAGTGGTGAGGTTAGAGGCAAAGGCCAGAGAAGACCATGCTCATCTTATTTCTCACATTCTCCTTTTATTGGCCAGACTTGAAATGGGTGCTGGCAATCTCACCTTCTAACCAAGGCTCCATTTGTTACACTTTGATTCTAAAATGCAACTCATAAATATCGTCTGGAATTTTTTTGCCAGAGCCAGTTATTACCCAATGTAGTCTCTTCCTCTCAAAGGAAATGAGAGCAACAACATATTATAGATCAATTAAAGCACCTGACAATATCTAAAGGGTATACTGATAGAGACAAAGACTGCAAGATTTTTTTCCTTAAGAGGCTTATGCGAAAAGGAAATAAGCTACACTGCTAGAATGTTGCATGTTTCCTGGTGTTGCAGGATTACACCCCAATCCCCAGTACAAATGAAATATGGGATTGTTTTGGTTGAACACTTTGATATCACTCTTAATCACATTGTTTCAGGGTGACTTACAATACACAGAAATAAAATCATACTTGATCTTAACAATGCTTATTTTTTTTAAAAAAAACAAACAATTGACTGTGATTTGGCATTTACAAAAGTAATGGCTTCACTCTGGCTTTCCTGGCAATATTTTCTTAGTAGAAGCACTCATGGGCAGAGGTAACATGGAGTCACAGTTTTGAAAACAAACCCAACCCAAGGCACTGGTTACCAAAGTGCCACTCTGCACTAAACCTCTGGAAAAAAATGTCTCTCCATGCAATTAACCAAATCATTGTATTTTGTTCAATTCATTAAAGCTCAAGTGGCTTTGCAGTAGCCACATCAAAAGAGTCAATAAGCAAGCCTAGAAGTTGTTAGAATAAATAATACTCTATTCAGCAGAATAGTTAGTGTAGGGGCAGCTTCCAGGCATGGCCACGTTCATTTCATTTCTCACATTTCCCCATTATTGCCCAAAATTTAAATGGGTGCTGCCCTTCTCACATTCTTATCAAGGCTCCATTGGTAACTCCCTGTTTCTAAAGTGCAACTCACAAACCTCTTTTAGAATAGTATTGGCAGAGAAATTCCTAACCTGATTGTAGTCCCTTCCTCTTAAAGGAAATGAGAGCAGCAAAGAGCAAACGATAGAAGAATTAAAGTCATGGAGATCATCTAAGGAGTATGCAAATAAAGGCAGAGACTGGGAGGTGTTTCATCTTACGAGGCTTGTGGGTAGAGGAAATAAGCCACACTGCTAGGATGTTTTGTCTATTGGTGTTGCTGTTTTTGGCAAGTGCCTGGAGTGTGCAATGCAGATACAACCAGGTGTCCCACCAGTGACCCCTTTCCTGTTCCTCATGAGTGGTACCAGCCAGGTTGGCCTCATCATCGGTGGGATTTCTTCTCAGATCTTTTATGTATTCTATGAAGTTTTCTTCAGAGAACAGCCTTCACAGAATATGTTCACACTTCCATAGTAAGGATCGTGCACTTATCCCTTTAAATCCCCCATTCCTTTTGTCTTATGTCTCCCAGATTTTATGCCTTAAAGCAATAAGTTTCTCTCACTGTTGTATGTAAGCTGCTTTGTTGGGCCTTTAGTGGCTGAATAAGGGATAAAAATGCTCGGGTGCATGAATACATTCTACTGGTTCACAAAGAAGCATTTTACATAATTGAGGAAAGTTCCAATAGGTTCATCCCTGAGCCCTTCTCATTCTCAATCAGTGTCTGAGTTTATTAAGCTAAGAGATGTTCAACACTGACTTGTTATTTGGCCAAAATAAAAATGGAGGAGAAGGCTGTATGTTTTGGTTTTATTTTCCCCTATAATTTACAAATTCCTACATAGAACATAGAACAAATATTGTGGAGGAAAAGGGTGAAAAATGAAAAGAAAAGAAAATACAGGTAATGTGGAAAAGAGAGAGAACAGCACTGTTTCAAATTCTGTCCACCTGATACACACCACCCAAAAAACACCTTTTAGGAGTACAAAGTGTTCTCACAATTTCCTATCTCAAATTCCAAGCTCATGCTTCTTAAAGCCATGGAAACTATTTATTATTTCATTATTCATTATTTACTTCATTTTTGAAGTCCTCTTCATGAGACTAGGAATTAAAAAGGCTTTGGTTTCCATTCCTCCATGTAATTGTCACCTGAGGTGCTGATTCTGTTCCAGTAAACTTTGTCATCCATCAAAAACTAAATTATTCATCTGGCTATCCAATGGGGTAAAATTATGTAACATTTGAAAATTAATTATGAAAAGGTAAGATACAATGCCATTTCATTTCTATGTGCAGGAAAATACAATCGAAATGGGTGGGCAGGGGATCGAATAAATTGTGCACCATTTGCAGTTTGCAAGCAACTGGAGCAGCACATGCAGATCGTATTCCCTGGACTGACTTCCTTTCTGGACATGAAAGGAATGAGTAAACATTGGTAATTTCTGCTCCCAGTTCTGTTTTCAGCACAATTATGAAAAGTGACACAGATTCTTCTGGTATATTTAAATTGATAAAAACAGGGGATAGGAAGACACCTTCTATTTCAATCTTTACACACAGGCATCTTAGAATACCAATTTACACCATATTTACCTGATTTCTGATTTTAATTTTTATATGATTTTCATTGTATAATTTATGGCTCTGGTAATTAATTTTTAAGGCCTCAATCCTCTGAGAGTAAGAGCCCCTGAACAAATCTGGATGTCATTGTGAATAGAAATGCCCAGGTTTGAATTGGGTGTTGTCAGATTTGGTCCCTTTAGGATCAATGGTACTTTGAAAGTCATGACTAACTTGCTTCATTAGTTTAAATGAGAACTAACTTTAAGGATCTGACAGTGTATTCTGACAAATAAACACCAGAAGCTGCCCTATACTGAGTCAGACCATTGATTGATCTTGCTCAGTACTGGAAACAGAAATGGATAGCAGATCTCCAGAGTTTCAAGCAGGGAGACTTTCCCAGATTAACAATAGGATTTGTCAAATTAATATGCAGCAAGAGATTAACAATAGGATTTGTCAAATTAATATGCAGAATGCAAATGACCTGATGAAAAATAAATGCCATAGGGGCTATATGGTGTTTCTTACCTTAGACATATGAGTTACAGAAATGGTCAATTTTGTGATATGTTGATTCAACACCTTGCAGATTTTACATTAGAAATTGTGAATATCCAACTTTATTTGCAGTGTGGTGACAAAATTCTACCAGCACACCCTTTCCTTGGCATTTGCTATAAAAGAGATAAATGACAGCCCCAAGATCTTGCCCAATCTCACCCTTGGATTCCACATCTGTGACAGTTATTACGATGCAAGGATGACCTATCGGACAACTCTGGACCTACTTTTCAAATCACATAGATTTGTCCCCAACTACAAATGTGACGTTCAAAAAAACCTTATAGCCATCATTGGAGGACTTAGCTTTGATACCTCCCTCTCTATGGCTGACACCATAGGCCTCTACAAGATTCCACAGGTAGGACCGATGAATAGGCTTTTCACAATTTATATTCTTCTGTTACTAATAATTCAGATTGGTCTTTTGACTCTCCTGGACAACATATTTGGAATGTCAATTCATGCACAATGAAGCAGCCATGTTACTGACTGGGATTCCATTTAAAAGGATGTTGATTATGAAGATGATGACAATAATAATAATGATTCAGAAATAGGCTGTTTAGTGAGGTGCTAGCCTTGCAAGCCAGGACTAAATTCAATATATATATATATATATATGGCTCTGACTTAATCTTTGTTGAGTGAACAGGCACAGGATCTAAATGAAGGTTCATCCATGTGGAACTCTATAATGTTTGTACATTTCCTTTTAGCTCACATATGGGTCATTTCCTCCAGGGGAGAGTGATGCAGACCAGTTCCTTTCCTTTTACCACTTGGTTCCCAATGACAGCCATCAGTCTATTGGAATCATTAGCTTACTAAAGCATTTTGGATGGAAATGGATTGGACTTTTCGTTGTGGAAGGTGACGGTGGAGAAAATTTCTTGCAGACTCTGGAACCATTGCTTTCTAGGCACGGAATCTGTTCATCCTTCACACATAAAATACCACAAGTAGCCAATGTAGATAAGCTGAGTGAAACACTTGATGTGCTCTTGGATATTTATCTCTCTTTAACAGATGATAAAGTCAGTTCATGTATAATCTTTGGAGAATCTTTAACCCTTATATGGATGGGAGCTGTACTAGTTCTAGGAGATTCTGAAAAGAAGGGAAGCTCATCATTTAGAAAGGTGTGGATCATAACAACCCAGATTGATTTCATATTAGTGATATTCCAAAAGCTTTTAGATCTTCAGACCTTTCAAGGTTCCATTTCCTTCACAATTCATTCAAATGAGCCTCCGGGGTTCAATGAATTTCTTCAGAGCATTAAGCCTGATAAAATAAAAGAAGATGGTTTTCTTAGGACTTCTGGGAGCAAGCATTTGACTGTACATTCCCAAACCCCAGTTGGACAACGGAAGCCAATGAATCATGTACTGGGGATGAGGGGCTAATGAGCCTTCCTGGACCTCAGTTTGAAATGGGCATGACTGGCCACAGCTACAGTATCTACAATGCTGTCTACGTTGTGGCTCATGCTTTGCATGTCATTTACTCAACGAGAGCAAATCAGAGAGCAATGGCCCGAGATAAAAACTATGAATATCAGAATCTGCAACCTTTCAAGGTAAAGTGTAGAAATCAAATTCTTCTTAATTCAATGGCTTTAGTAGTCCAAAATGAGACTTCACCCAAATTATCATCCACAAGTACAATTCCCTGAGCAACGTAGAATCATGGAACCATAGAATTGCATAGTGGGAAGGGATTCTAAGGGTTATGTAGTCCAATCCTCTGCAGTGCAGGAATTTATGTTGATATAATTTGGTTTATAAAGGGACGCGAGTGGCGCTGTGGGTAAAACCTCAGTGCCTAGGACTTGCCGATCGTATGGTCGGCGGTTCGAATCCCTGCAGCGGGGTGAGCTCCCGTCGTTCGGTCCCAGTTCCTGCCCACCTAGCCGTTTGAAAGCACACTTAAGTGCAAGTAGATAAATAGGTACCGCTTTATAGCGGGAAGGTAAAAGGTGTTTCTGTGTGCTGCGCTAGTGCAGGCTCACCAGAGCAGCTTTGTCATGCTGGCCACATGACCCGGAAGCTGTCTGCGGACAAACGCCAACTCCCTTGGCCAGTAAAGCGAGATGAGTGCCCCAACCCCAGAGTCGTCTGCGACTGGACCTAATGGTCAGGGGTCCCTTTACCTTTACCTACTAGGAGTAATCATCCGGGGATTCGGGACACAGCATCATTAGGATCCTGATGAGGCCCAGTATCTCTCAGTTTGAATCTGGTGAGGCTATGCAGGTGCTTAACTTATGCAGTGATGGGCTGGATGAGGACCAATAACCTGAGGCTCAATCTGACAAGAAGGAGCTGATGGGGTGGGTTGTTCTCATGTTCAAGAACTGGGAAGAAGTCCTCTTCTTGACTAAGTTGCACTGCTCTGAAAGAGCAGGAGCATATCCTAGATCTAGCTTTGCGTATGGAGGCCCAGGTGGCCTTGGTGATGTGAGTGCCCATGCCCTTGTGACGCGGGTGGCGCTGTGGTCTAAACCACACCCTCTTGGGCTTGCCGATCAGAAGGTCGGTGGTTTGAATCCCCGCAACGAAGTGAGCTCCTGTTGCTCTGTCCCAGCTCCTGCCAACCTAGCAGTTCGAAAGCATACCAGTGCAAGTAGATAAATAGGTACTGCTGCGGCGGGAAGGTAAACAGTGTTTCCGTGTGCTTTGGCTTCCACCACGGTGTTCCATTGTACCAGAAGTGGTTTAGTCATGCTGGCTACACAACCCAGAAAGTTGTCTGTGGACAAACGCAGGCTCCCTCGGCCTGAAAGCGAGATGAGTGCTGCAACCCCATAGTCGTCTTTACTGGACTTAACCGTCCAGGGGTCCTTCACCTTTACCAGTTGGCTTTACCAGCTCCATCTGTTTGTCCTGGGATAGCCAGGCCACAATTATTTGTGTTCTGGTATGCTCCCAGTTTACCCCCATTAAGTCAGCTTTTAAAGACCTCCAGTGTTTAGTGATGGTTAACGTCTGGCTTCTGTCAAGAGGGAAGCAATCGGGGGTTTTATGCGACCATCTCCTTATCTAGTTGTGGATTGAGATGAGATTGAGCTTTGGGTCCAGCAGAATGATTTGTTCAGTTGCCTTAAAAAAACCAAAAAGTTGCCCAGAACCTGTTTAAGGAGAGGTCCGTCACTGTGTGAAAGTGAGATCCCAAATCCCTGCATTTGCCAGCATTTCGCATCTTCTGATCGAGCTGTTTTATTTATTTATTTGTTTGTTTGTTTGTTTGTTTGTTGAATAAATAAATAAATAAATAAATAAATAAATAAATAAATAAATAAATGTACGTGTGCCAATGATGAATAACTTTTCGGAGAATTTTCTTGTACCCCTGCAGAAATTAATGTAAGTGGTGCTTTATCCCATAATCTGGCCTAATGTGCATCTGTAGTATCCCAACCCAGATCTTGTTGATCCCTGGCATTTCCACATAGGGCTGGGAAAGAGTCGTGACTGAAACAATTGGTAGCTGCTGCCAGTCACTCCACCCTGAGCTAGGCAGACCAATGGTATAAAGCAGCTTATATGTTCCCTTAAGCAGCGGCGTAGCGTGGGTTGTCAGCACCCGGGGCAAGGCAAGTATATGTGCCCCCTAACCCGTGGATTTGCGCCCCCTAACCCGTGGATTTGCCCTAACCCCAGATGTTGCGCCCGGTGCGGCTGGCCCCCCCTGCACCCCCACGCTACGCCACTGCCCTTAAGTGTTGCTGATTCATTTTAATTCAGTAGCCACACCTTGTGTGAAGGAGTGCTGCCCTCTAGTGTTCACATGATATGGAATGAACTTCAGTGAATAATAAAAAACCAAAGCATAAGTACAGTGTACCTCTGGTTAATACTTAATTCGTTCCGGAGGTTCCGTTCTTAACCTGAAACTGTTCTTAACCTGAAGCACCACTTTAGCTAATGGGGCCTTCTGCATGGCCGCCGGCCGCCAGAGCATGATTTCTGTTCTATCCTGAAGTCAAAGTTCTTAACCTGAGGTACTATTTCTGGGTTAGCAGAGTCTGTAACCTGAAGTGTATGTAACCCGAGGTACAGTGTACTGCATGAAATCCTACTATTGTGGGGCTTTCTTATCAGCAGAATTTTGCACAGATAGGTAATGAAGTATTTGGATGAAAAGACAACAAATCTATGAATTTGAAATGCTGCAAGTCTTTCTTTTCTCAGGAGTACAGGCTTGGAGGAAATGGCAAATTCATAAAGCACACGGTTCTATCTGCATATCTGTTAATTCAGATGGAAAAGGAGCAGAAAAGAATATGTGTCATTGTTCAGATATCACTGCATAGTAGGTTTAAATGGGCAACAGAAAGAAGTATAAACAAAGGTTGTGTATAAGTAAACTGCCTAACAAGAGTTTTTAAAAACATGTGAAAAGGAAAATGGGTCAGCAGTTTAACGTTAAGACTGATCATATGTAACTTCAACAACTTGGTGTGTGCTATGATGGGGTAATGCACAATAATTCATTTAATTTAAGATTTTTTTTAAAAAGCCTCCTTGCAGCAGCACACAAGATATGCAGAGTGCATTAAAACGAAATCCAACATACACCAGAACTTATAAAAACCCGTTTATTTTCTAAGTGAACTGGAGGGTGAACAGCGTTAGTGTTTAGCAAACTTCTTTGCTTCTTCTTTCCACTAAAGAAAATACTAATTTCTAATTTTGTGTTCACTCATACCCATTAAATATTGTTTCATATTTCTCTTGGATCACAGAATTTGAGACAATACCAAAAAATACTTTATTGGTGTGTGCTGTTAGGCAAAAGGTTGTCGTTGTTTCATGAAGACACTGCAGAAATGATGTATTATAGCTCCACAGATGGTGCTATTTCACGTGTAGCACAAACGGCTATGGACAGTTGATTGCTTTTTCTGTACTACCTTCATATTGAACAGCAAATGGCCTGTGAAAGGGTGGGCACTTTTATACATGGTATATTATGATCTTTTTGGAAGACAGGATGCCTTGAGACAAACATTACATCTGTAATGAAAACTTGGAGGACCTCATTATAACAGTATAAAACTACGATCTCCTGCAAGTTTATACATCGTGGATTTTCACTTTCTTTTCGCTATCAGGAACCCATTTTATTTTCTTTTTCTGTGTTGGTGTTCTGCCTGCAAAATGGGGCCAATAATGATTTGAGAGAGGTGGGGTGCATTGTAAGCACACATATAGGTAAGGATCACAAACAACTGGTTTACGTAATTGTATTCAGGAAGCTGTATCAGTGTCATTAGTATGTATTTCCAATAATTTTCTGGCTGGCCTTCCCTTTGCTGTAAATCACTGTTGATTTCTCTGTTTTATAATTCCCCCTTAGTTTCCATAGTTGATTATTCCTCTATAGATAAGTATCTACAATATTATTACCCCCCCTCCCCGCAATTTATTACCCACCCTTGACCATGAGGTTCCAGGGTGGGTTTCTACAAATTAAAATTCAGTATTAGGAACAGTTAATGAATTACAGACATAAGAATAGAGTGGGTCCTGAAAATGATAGATAGATATAGATAGATGTGCACACCACCCATCTGACTGGGTTGCCCCAGCCACTCTGGGCAGTTTCCAATAAATAAGAAACACAGTAAGACATCAGACATTAAAAACTTCCCTAAACAAG